AGTACTGGCGGTTACATTTAAAACCCTTCACCAAAGCAAACTTTGAGCTACAGAAACCATCCAGGGCTCCAGAAATTCAGCAAATTGAGGACCTTGTGGGAATATTCAAGATTTGTATCTATTTTTTTTCTCCTGCTTTGAAATCATTCTTACTATTCACGCATACCATGGCTACCAATTAGAGCACCTGGAGACACACAGCTGACTGGAAAGCTGCTTCTAGAGTCTGCCTCCTCGCTGGGTGAAGCCACTCCGAGAACAGCACCCTCTGATAAATCCCACCTCCGCCAGCAAAGCTTATGGGACTGTGGACAAACTTTAGAAATTTATTACACAGAACATACATTTTTCTCCCCCCTGCTTGTGATGTTGACATGTAGTTATTGAAAGACTGGTTTGTGCCCAAGTCCTCTTTTTTCAGTGCAGCTCCGTTTTTAAAAGTTATTAGGGGGTTCATGTTTTCTATGATTGACACCTGGTACAGCCTATGGGCGTTCAGGGATTGCGTAGCTCACCCGGGGGGATATGCTGTTTGAGCCGAGTGTCATCACAGGGACTCTCGGCGACTGCGCGGCCGAATGCGCGCATCGCTACTGCGTAGCTCTGGTTTCAAGGAAGTGGAGAAAAACCCAGAATTACCAAAAGCTTTTTGGCTTCAAATCCGTATACAGGCGGAAGGCGGAACCAGGTTGTCCATCTTATATACAGTCTATGGTTCAAACCTTTCTGATTCTTTAAACCTTTTTCATACTTCAGGATCTTTAATAATTTAATTTTCCAAACATACAATTTTTTTATACATGCATTATTCAATGAATTCATTCAATTCATTCAAATTGATTCAAACCTTTCTGATACTTCAAATCTTCTTATCTTTCACATATTTTCAACTTTCGGCCATTCGCAATAGTAGTTTAGCGATAGCAATCCTACTCGCAATTTCTTCAGAAATTGAATTTAGCTATACTACTCTAGTTATACTACATCATTTATTTTATATCATGCATCATATATTATATATTATATTTAAGATGCACTTTAAGTCCTAAAGGCCAAGTCTGCTAGCCTGGCTGGGCCATCCTGTTGCGTGAATCACTTGACGTTCCTTCCCACAACAGTCTGGACTTCAGCCCATTGGGAGCGTGTATTCCTGATTAGAAAATAACCGGGCCAATCAGAGACCGTGTTTTTACTGTTACCCGGACAACAGGGAAAGGCAGCCCCTGATTGGTCCATGTACTACTGTAACCAATCACCGTAACCAAGCATGTGTGATGATGTCAGATGCTTGGTTACGGTGATTGGTTACAGTAGTCTGTCTATCAAGGAAAGTACTCCCGCCCACTTTCAGGGCCTCCAATGGGCCGAAGTCCAGACTGTTGTGGGAAGGAACGTCAAGTGACTGACGCAACAGGATGGCACAGCCAGGCAACAAGTCTGCTGCATGCACACCTGAACTGTTTGGTACAGGTAACACAAACCCTGGTCTTGGGTGAATGTCTGTGTATCAATTTGCTGCTTGGCATCTGTGTAACCATGGTAACATGTCATCTGTGTGGACTCACTTGTCTAATATAAAAATCATCACGCTGACTGCCCCCTGCCTGTCCAGCTGCTCATACTGGACATCTGCTTGTCAAACATGTTATTCTGTGAACACCAAAGAAAAAGCTGAAACAGCAGGATTGTAGAAATCTGCTCTGTTATTTATGTGGTAAATAAATCAGTAAAAGGGGAAGGGTTTCTGCTTACTGTCCCATGAGCTGAGATGAGCTTCTTCTTCTCCTACAGGTATCATGTATGTATCATGTATAATGTAGAATGTACTGTGAGTGAATCCTGTGAATCAGTCAGTCTTTCATCTCAACTCAACTCAACTCAACTTTATTTGTTAAGCACATTAAAGCAACCACAGCTGAACAAAGTGCTGTACATAAATAGAAAAAACAACTAGACATATAAACAATTAAAACAATGGGTAAAATAAAGCAGAATTAAGAAGTAGAATACAGTTTCAATGTTTTTAAAAACTAATTTAAAAACATAGAAACAAATAACTACAAACAAACCATAAAACACTAAAAAAGGAGCAGAGTCTCATGCAGGGTTAAAAGCCAAGGAATAAAAATGGGTTTTAAGACGAGTTGTAAAAATGGACAGTGTGGGGGCTTGTCTAATTTGGAGGGGTAGCTCGTTCAATAAATTTGAGGCTGCAACAGAAAAAGATTGATCCCCTCTGAGCATCAGTTTGGACCTCGGTACCTCCAGGAGCAGCTAATCAGCTGACCTGAGGCACTGAGCAGGGGTGTAGGGGTGGAGAAGTAGCCTGGCTGTGCCATCCTGTTGCATGAATCACTTGATGTTCCTTCCCACAACAGTCTGGACTTCGGCCCATAGAGAGCATGTATCCCCGATCAGAAAATAACTGGGCCAATCAGAGACCGTGTTTTCACTGTTACCCGGACAACAGGGAAAGGCAGCCACTGATTGGTCCATGTACTACTGTAACCAATCACCGTACGCAGCACAGCTCGCACTGGTTCTGTGTTATGTAACGGACACAGGTGTCAAGGAGCGGTTTGTCAGATTTGAAGATGTTACCAGTGGGAAGCGAGACGATGACATTGCAGGTCTTATCATCAGATTTTTGGTGGAAAATGAATGTCTGGGTAAAGTTGTGGCACAGTGTTTTGACGGCGCAGCGGTCATGACTTCAGGATTAAATGGGGTGCAGGCTAAAGTTAAGGAGAGAGCACCTTTGGCTTTATTCATACACTGCTATGCACATCGGCTCAATTTAGTATTGACTCAAGGGGCCTCAAAGCTTAAAGAATGCAAGATCTTTTTCGCCCACCTCAATGGCCTTGCTGCATTTTTTTCTAGATCGCCTCGGCGCACGCAACTACTGGACGAAATCTGCCAGCGGCGTCTCCCTCGTCTGGCACCAACACGGTGGCAGTACACATCCAGAGTGGTCAATACAGTCTTTGAGAAGAGAAATGCTCTAAAGGAACTGTTTCATCACATTCTGGAGCATCATGACGAGTATGATGAGGACTCTGTGCGCTGTGCTGATGGATTTAAAGCACGTCTGGATGATTTTGAGTTTTGTTTTTTGCTTCACACATTTAATGGCATTTTTGAGTACTCAGATGTGCTCTTTTCAATACTACAGGACAAAAAACTGGATGTACAGTTTTGTCTGGCAAGGGTTAAGGATTTTTGTGACACCGTTGAGCGAGAGAGGCCTCTGAACGCACCGAGAGGTGCAGCGCAAGATCCTCGCGCGCACTACCGCCAACTCCACGGCAGGATTCTGGACAATATTATTTGTCAGACACAGACCAGATTTCAAGACCACGAAAAACTGATCTTTGTCACCCTCCTCGACCCCCAGACGTTTCGGGAATACCAGAAATATTTCCCGAATGCAGCCTTTTCCAGCTTAGCACAGAGCCACGGAGCACTTTTCGATCTGCCTCGGCTAAGAACAGAACTGACCGTAATGTATGCCATGGATGATTTTGCTGGAAAATCCCCCACTGATCTCCTTGACTTCCTTCAGCAGAAAAATCTGAATGAGAGCATGGGGCAGCTGCACACATTTGTGTGTTCGGCGGTGACCATCCCCGTGTCCACTGCTTCTGTTGAACAGACATTCTCATCCCTAAAACAAATGAAAACTTATGCCAGAAATATGACAGGGCAGGCTTGACTTTCAGCATTAGCTTCGATGGCGATAGAAAAGGACTTCTTGATGGAACTGAAACGCACAGATAATCTGCACAACAGAGTAATTGAAATCTTCTTGAGGAAAGAAAGGAGGATGGATTTTGTGTACAAACAATCAGGATTTTTGGTGAGTAAAATGTTGCAATTTTATCAGGTTATTTTTGATGCTTTTTTATGTGTTTCGCAGCTGTATCTGCAGTAGAAGTTTTATAGCCATAAAATAGTTATTGAGGGTTGGATTGATTCAGACGGAGCACTACTGAAGGCCTAGGTGTGAAATGCACGGCCCACCACTGATATATATGTTTATATATATATATATATATATATATATATATATATATATATATCAGTGGCAGGCCATATATATGTGTGTGTGTGTGTGTGTGTATCATATATATATATATATATATATATATATATATATATATATATATATATATGATACACACACACACACACACACATATATATGTCAATCTGCCCCAGGGCAGCTGTGACTGCTAAGGTAGTTTAACACCACCGAGGTGTGACTGTGTGAGTGAATTTATGTTTTTTTTTTTGTTTGTTGTTTGTTTTGTTTTTTTGCAGTTAAGAGGCATATTAAGCACTGTTGGGAAAAAAGGGAGCACCTGGAGGAAACCCTCAGTAAGGAAAGTAGCAATTAGCTGTCCTAAAAGTCGATAGAAGTCACTAAATAACATCATCGTCTAATTTGCATAATTGGCAAAAATTATCACAAAAAGTGAGTAAAAACCACCCCAAATATGTTTTGAACTATAAATGAACTTTCTTCTGTTTCTTAATGTCACAAAACCAACCCTCCTCCTTTATCCGGGCTTGGGACCGGCAAAATTGACCCAACTGAGACAATTTGGCGGAGTTACTGGGTTTTTTTTTTTCATACACTTTCATTTTTCAGTATCATGCACTGTTGGGAGAAACCGTAGCACCCGGAGAAAACCCTGATGTGTGGCCTGTATGTGTTTAATTACACCATTGAGTCTGGGAGCCTCTGACCCCTCCTGAAAACACAGAAGTTGAAGCTGGCTCTAATCCATCCAACAACTGTTCCAAACCAGCCGTTGTTCCTCGTCTCCTCAGGTTGGGGGTATTCAGAGCAGATAGTGTCCATAGGTATTGCAACCTCGGACTCCATCATGACCACTATCTCCTCTTCTTGAGTCTGCCTCTCCTCAGGTTGGTGGTATTCAGAGCTGAGGGTGTCCATAGATATTGCTGCCTCGGACTCCATCATGACCGTGTCCCTAAAGGATCTTAGGGGGGACTATTTCAGTCATGAAGGGATGTTGCAGGACTTCATGGGGTTTGATGCGCTGCTCTGGGTCTGTATCCAACATCTTTTTAACAAGATCCATTAACAGATGGTGATCTTCCTCATGTCCTCTCTGCAGGTCCATCCGCTTTTCGAGGTCATCCAAACTGTCAAGACTGTGGTACTTGAGCTGAGGCAGGTATCCTGATTCTGCTTGAAACTCCTCTGGTGACTTCAGTCTCCAGCGCCGTGGGGCAGCATCTTCTGGAGTAAAAAAGTACCCAGGATTTAATGACTTGTCCACAACATGATCTTCAGGCTGCCCCTGTAGTTGTGTGATGTAGCTCAGTACATTATACTCTGTGTGTCCAGGATACAGCATGAATCCAATGGCAATCTCTGCAGCTGTCACACCAAGAGTCCACATGTCCACAGCCTCATCATAGGGAAGCTGCATCAGTACTTCTGGTGCTCTGTAACACAGGGTCTGAACCCACGCACCATCATGACAGTCTGATACTGGGCGAGCCAGGCCGAAGTCTATCAGCTTTACTTTGAGCGGCTTACTATGACGGTCCACAACCATGATGTTTTCAGGTTTCAGGTCACCATGTACGAGCCCGATGGAGCTCAGGTGAGACAGAGCTGAGGTCATCTGCTTTAAAACTGACCTCATCTCTGGCACTGGGAAAAATTGTCCCTTGCTAGACTGGATGTAATCATATAAACTCTGGTCCAGCAGCTCAAAACTAAGGCAGACGCTGTCCATGTGGAAAAAAAATCCATACCACTTGACGATATTGTAGTTGTCTGGATCTAGACTCTGCAGTCTCCTCAGGTTGGTTATTTCCTGTCTGGCTTGGTGGAAAATTTTTTGGTCATTTTTATTGACCTTGATGGCCAAAGGCCTGTTGTTTTGGGGGTCGTAACATTTGGCCACAACACCGAAGCCTCCCTCCCCGAGGAAAGACTCCACAATGAAGGGACCAAGGTTGCCCCCCTCGTAAATCTGAAGGTCTCTTAGACTTTGAGAGGTCATGTTGATCGGTGGTCTTGGTTCTTGCAATTCCAAATGTGAAGACAATTATCACTGCAGTCAGATGTGATTCTGAGTCAGGTCTGATGTGCTGTACTGTCTCTGTACTGTGTACTGTCCAAGTACCTCTCAATGCACTTAAAAGGGGGATGACATCATACCATTCTGGCTTTGAAGTGCATTGTGATGTCATAGCATTTAGAATGTGATGCAATGCATCATTTGAATGGTCGTTGCCTAGCAACAAGGTAAACTTCCCGCCCGTGCGACCTCTTATTCCTTAAGCCTTTTTGCACACCAACATGGACGAGACACTAAACATTTTGCGTTTTGGAGCAGCTATTTCTGTGACCATTACTGCTGTTGCCGCTGCTGTCATCAGAAGACGAAGGCAGCGGGTGATAATTCAAAGGCAAAGCCCGTAGGTATGGGAGCGGACATAGATGAGGGATTTCTGGTAGAGGATCGTTAATGAGGAATTCACAGATGAATTGTGGATTCAAAACTTCAGAAAAATACAAATACAATTCAAAACTTCAGAAAAAACTCTGTCTCTAAACCTTTCTGATTCTTTAAACCTTTTTCATACTTCAGGATCTTTAATAATTTAATTTTCCAAACATACAATTTTTTTTATTCATGCATTATTCAATGAATTCATTCAATTCCTTTAAATTGATTCAAACCTTTCTGATACTTCAAATCTTCTTATCTTTCACATATTTTCAACTTTTGGCCATTCGCAATAGTAGTTTAGCTACTTAGTTATACTACTCTAGTTATACTATATCATTTATTTTATATCATGCATCATATATTATATATTATATTTAAGATGCACTTTAAGTCTTTAAGGCCAAGTCTGCTGCATGCACACCTGAACTGTTAGGTCCAGGTAACACAAACGCTGGTCTTGGGTGAATATCTGTGTATCAATTTGCTGCTTGGCATCTGTGTAACCATGGTAACATGTCATCTGTGTGGACTCACTTGTCTAATGCTGACTGCCCCCTGCCTGTCCAGCTGCTCATACTGGACATCTGCTTGTCAAACATGTTATTCTGTGAACACCAGAGAAAAAAGCTAAAACAGCAGGATTGCAGAAATCTGCTCTGTTATTTATGTGGTAAATAAATCAGAAAAAGGGGAAGGGTTTATGCTTATTGTCCCATGAGCTGAGATGAGCTTCTTCTTCTCCTACAGGTATCAGTAAAGTTCCCTTTAACCAGTCACTTCTCTTTTATTTTGTAGGACATTTTACCAGAGTTAAGACCCCCCAAAAATGACATTGGAGTTTCTGGAGTGTGTTGCTGCTGTTACCAACCCAGACTGTCTCACATCCCAATCTGCACTAAACCTAAATCTTTAAAATCCAGACCTCTCAGATACAGGGGGACTGGAAATATAAGGTGGAGGTTTCTATGAGAGGCCTATTTTATGTTATATAAAGGAGATAAGCCATCTTTATGAGGACTGTTCTCTGAGCAGAGGACAGAGAGGCTCTGTACAACAGGATCCAGGAGGACTACATCGACACTTGAGGTGTCACTTGATTTTGTCGAACAGATCTGAAGTCTGTATGTTTGGAGGCTGTTGAAATGCTGTTTGTAAAGCAGGGTTTCCCTCAAGGTGAGGAGCAGAAAGTGTGAAGGAGAGTTTTATGTTTCCTGTAGCAGGTAAGTAAAAGCTGTGTGGACCTTTTTCTCTGCTCACTTGCGTCTCCTCCTAACCTGACTGTAACACAGCAGCTTTGAGCATCTGCAGATGAAGCTTGTTTTGGATTGAGACTGCATTGTCAGTGTTGCAGTTTATTTGCTTTCAGGAACCACCTCTGCCTCCCCTTCAGCTGAGCTCTGTGCTGCAGGATGCACAGGTGGAGGTTTGGTCCTGAGCTCCTTCTTCTCCTCCTCCTCTTCTCTAAAGCTCTGTCAGAGGAGCTCAGCTGCAGACGGCCTGTTTGATCCTCTGATGGGGCTGCAGAGAGACTCGGGCTGAGCGTCTAAGCTCTGCACTAAATAATCATCATCACAGACATCGTAAAGATCTCTCTCTCTCTCTCTCTCTCTCTCTCTCTCTCTCATCCCTCTGTATTATCTCTTTTTAGCCCCCCTCTCTTTGTCTTTCTTTCTGTCTCTTCATGTCTCCTCCTCCCTCTCACTGTGTTTGCTGTAAGGCTCTGAGCTCAGACCTCTGATAATGCTGATTGTCTTTTAGGTTTTAAAACTTTAGTGCTCATGTTCCCAGCAGGCTTTACTCTTTACTGTCTTTTACTGCATTTCTTAACTTACAAACTGCTTCTCACGGCTTGAAATGCAAGTCACAGGCGAAGCCTCAGTGAATCTCAGATGATTTGGTGGTTTCTCTTTACACTCATGTCTCATTGATTTCTGTTGCACAGACTGAGTTCATCCTAAATGTTTGGATGATAACTGAAAGACTCAACTTTTATCAAGATTTTTTTTTTTCTTTCTCTGTTGGTTGATAATCATGTTGAATTCTTCTCTGATTTTTCCTCCTCAGTTTTTTTTCCGCTCATTTTCCTCCTCTGATCATTTTGTGTTTCTCTTTTCTTTAGCACTCTCTTTAAACTGTGTTTGCTCGCCTCCCTTCTCTTGCCCCCTTGTTTCCTCCCCCTTCTCCCCTCTCCTCGGTCCGACCTCCATCAGTCTCTGCTGCTCATCTGTTTCTGTCAGAGCTCCTGAACATGCACTCTGGATAACCCACCCTCTGCTTCCTGCGCTGCGATGCACCGATTTATTTCATTGATTTGAGGAGGAGGAATGCACAGACCAAAGACTGACCGGCTGCTCTGGGTTTAGAGACGAGCCACCGAGTTACCGTCAGAGTCTGAGTCAGCGCTCAGAGATCTGAGAAATGTGCCTGATGGTGGAGGAAAGAGGAGACCTGATCTGAGTCCAGAAAGAAGAGGAGGGTTTTAAATTACTGAGCTTCATCTTCAGAGAGACATCTTTAATCAGGATGAGTTTGATTAGATGATCTCTGACCTCAGAGGGGTTTATATCATGTTCTTAAACATAAACCCAACTTTACCTGGACTATTCCCTGGCAGCCCCCTCAGTTAGCTTTTAATAGAGTCAGAGAAGAGGGGAAAAACTCTGGTAAAAACCTGGGCAGGTGGTCTGAAATTTTCCAGAACTTTTTGATGGGTTAGTGAGTGAAAATAGCTTCTTGTGATGTTTGGGAGAGTCCTGACGTGTCTGTTATTATTTATCCTTAACTAAGATATTTGCTGTACAGCTGTCAGACAAATGTGAATGATGAGCAAATACAACTGTAAAACCCTCAACCTGCACACCTGCACATTAAGACCTGCAGACTAAAGGTCCTTACACACCGGAGGTGTTTTTTTCCTGCGATTATTTTGGACGTCAAAATCTTTTTTTTGAACCTGTATCCTGTCAAAACAAGCGTTCACATCAGCGACGTTTTCCCGTCCTGCAATATTGTGGCATTTATTTTTTCGTATCCCAGTCGAATTTTCTAAAGTTTTACATACTGTGTGTCCACTTCTGACCAATCAGATTGCGTGTTGTTGCAATGTCAGATTCACCGGTATATCCAACATGGCCGACGGGCTGATTGTTTACGTGTCGGAAAACAGAGTGCTTTTTGATAAAAAACACAAATATTACAAAGACAGGGCTCTCAAGTCTCACGCATTCAGCGTGAGACACACGCATTCCCACCTGTTCACACGCTCACACGCCACACATTGTATTTCTCACGCATTTAAATGAACATGGTGATGTCCACCAAGTTGCACCTCTTTAACTATGGAACAGGGGGAAATCAACGGAGTTTCTCCGAGAGTTCAGAAGCTGCGTGCCACGCGCAAGCCAATCAAATAAAGTATATCTACTGAACAGCCAATCAAAAAGCAGCATTGCTGTATCCGGGTAGATTTTGATATCTTGCGGTTTGACTACAGAAGAAGACAGACACTTGCTGAAATAGAGCAGGTTTTTATAAGGACGAGAAAGACCCGATGATTACAGTAAGTCAGTAACCTACACATGCAGAGACCTCAACACCTCATGACAGATAAACTCAAATGATAAACTAAAGCCCTATGCTATTGCTATTAACAGCTGCATTGATGAATTTAGCCTCTGTACAGCCATTTCCCCCTCCACAAAAGCAGCATTTCTCATATATTCTTTTTAAAGTTCTGATACTCGTGACAGTGTAATGCTGATATACCAAAGGATTAAGTATCTTCATGTCTGTGAAACCTATACTAAAGTACAATTCATCTAAATGCTCCACAGTGCTGATTTTAACAACTCTCCTCCACAACAGGTAACTTTACTACTTTATTCTTAAAGTCATTAATGACTTTATTCTCCTAAATAATAACTTAAATCTCAAAGATTTAAAAATGTTTTTTTCTTTCTTAATGTGGCCCTCATACTCCATTGTATTTATTAGATTATTATACTAATAATTATCTTTACCCCCCCCCCCCCACCCCCCCAAGGAAATCTCACTCTAAGCTTAGTTCAAAACTTGAGAGCCCTGCAAAGATAACTACCTGAAGGACAACCTGTGGAGAGTCATAGCGTCGGATCTCTCATATGATGATAGTTTGTGTGCTTTAACAGTTTGCTAAACACCTTTGTTTCAACTTTCATCTGTGCTAAGTAACTTTAGCTTGTAAGCTAACCTGTTCAGATACAACATACCATATTTCACTGTCTCAAACTTAATCGCGTTGCTGTCACAGCACCATTAGGTCTCCGTTGTTACCTTTTGTTTATGGATTATAGTTAAATGTGCTTATCTGGTACTGGCCTCGACTCATTACATGCTATCATGACAGACAGCCGTCTCAACACTAGTGTCTAATCAGAACTAATAAACGGTCAGTCTGGTGTTGCGTCATTCTTCTCGCTTCCACTCGTGACACGTCTTTTTTCCCTCCTGCAAAATCGCATTGCGCTTGATGTGTATAGTCAGGTGCATCAAAATTCGCCTCAGAATAT